CGTCTTCTATCGAACACTCCTAATGCTGGTTCTGATTCATCAGCTAACTGGCCGTCCACTGGTGCTGCTGTTGCCAAAACTACTACTATCGCAAATCAAATGTCGCGCGGTGCTTTCGTTGCCGGCTCTTCTGCTGCAAATGCTATCATGGCAAAGTGGAACCATATGACGTAATGATGAACGCGTTTGCGTAGCTAATTACACCCAGGGGTTCCGAATATTGAATTTATATGGATTGCGCCGTGCTACTATAAATCCGTAATGCACAAGTAAAACAAGCTGTAAGAAATCAATAATTGATAGGAGGAGAGCGAGTCGATATGTAATTGCTGAGAGTAGCTGTATTTCCCTTTACCGTAGCAGTGTCGTCGGTCAAATCGACTTACACACACCTGTCAACAACTTCAACATCCCAGTGCGAAGCGTTGACCTTGAGGAAGAGCAGCATTTCCACAGCTAGTGGTGAAAGAGCTTGGCGTTCATGTCCGATCATGGCTCGGGCCACGCTGAAAAGACGCTCCACTCTGTTGGAAGTCGGCGGAATTGCGCTCACCAGTGGGTAAGAGGCCACACATGGCTTTACCTTGCGCTTTTTGAGAATGCGCTCAGCAAACCCCTCCTTCTGCAGCGCCACGGCTTGTGGCTCGCACTCTACCCTTTGCAAAAAAGGGCCCTAAAGCGGTCTTCTCGCCGCGCAACAATTTAGCTGCATCACCAGCTAGAACCTTGCAGCATCCAGACTCGAATCCAGGAGAGTGAATAATATTCGCAGATGCTCCTATAAAAAGTAAACAAAATGTAAGCACAATGGTTTTTGTCAGATGAGCATAAATACTTACCAATGTAGGTTTTTAGAATGGGCTTAACTGCAATAAGCCCATCCAGTAGGTCGGGCGCCCCTAGAAGATCAACGTCGTCGCCTTGTAGCGCAAGAGAAACGGACTCGCAGTCCGAAAGCTCGTTCAAGAGGGCTTTGAGTCGGCTGTGGGTTGCCGGCGATGGAAGAAACTCCGCCAATTCATCGTCATCCATGGACAAAAAGCCACGAAATTCAAAATACCGACGCAGCATGGCATGCGTTGAGCCCCAACGCGTCTCTTGACGAAGTACGGGTCGAAGCGGCGTCACCAGCCTAAAAACAAAACTAAATTAGAAACAATTAAAATTAAAAAGGCGGAATAATTGTACCTGAGCTTGGCACCTTCACTGAGTGTCTTGAGTTTCTTCATCAGACGTTGGACTACGCAGAGATCGGCCTCATAGGGGGCCAAAAACGCCTTTAACGCCAAGTTCCAGCGGTGGCTTGCACAGCCAACAAGAGGAACGCCCATCAGGTTGGCGAGCTTCTTGTTGACCGAGCAGTTGTCACCGACTAGAAATAGACATTGCTCCACCGTTTTTCCGAAAAACGGAAGAAAAGTAGAGATTGCCGCCAAAAGCGACTCGGCCCCGCGGTCATCCTCTGGCTCG